TCGTCGTTAAACTCATCAACAAACAACTCGGCCGAGCTGTCCGACGACTTCATCATGTTGTTCGACTACATCAAGCAAGTTGTCGACCACCCAAACAAAAAGCAAAATGGTGAAAACATGCACGAGCATCCCGTGAGAACAAAATATAGCTAAAAAGACGCTTGAGCCACCGCCGATGAGGGTAGCTAAAAGCTAACACCAAACAAAAAGCAAAATGGTGAAAACATGCACGAGCATCCCGATTACGAGAGCAAAATAGCTAAAAAGACGCTTGAGCACGCTAATGAGGGTAGCTAAAAGCTAACACCAAACAAAAAAGCAAAATGGTTGAAAACATGCACGAGCATCCCGGTAGAGAGCAAAATAGTCAAAAGACGCTTGAGCTCGCCGATGAGGGTAGCTAAAAGCTAACACCAAAACAAAAAGCAAAATGGTGAAAACATGCACGAGCATCCCGGCCGAGAGCAAAATAGCTGAAAAGACGCTTGAGCTCATGATGATGAGGGTAGCTAAAAGCTAACACCAAACAAAAAAAAAACAAAATGGTGAAAACATGCTCGAGCATCCCGGCATTGGCGCGCCAATGACGCTTGTCATAACAACTCTGCTTTTCCATGGAGATTCTCGGTCGATCCTTCATCGCCGACTCGTCGACAATATCGTCAATATCAACTCAAGATCAACACGGTGGCTCAATATCCATATACTCGGATCCGATCCGTCTCGCGTAATTTTGCTTGAGATGATAACAACGCATCTACATTGCCACTCGTATATTATACGGGAACCTTACATTAGCACGAGATCAAGATGGCTACAATAGCTCGAACAATAGTACTTGACGGACTACAATGACACGGCAGCGTTCTCCTCCATTGAATCCATCTTGACCGAGTTCGACTCGACTTCTCCCAAGTCCGACCGATATCGAGTCATACTCGAGTCCAACCACTAAGCTTCGGCTCATGATCGATTTCAACCCGGACAAGGCAAGACATGCAGCGTGCTCTAGACCTAGCATCAAATCGGGTCAAGCAACGATCCATCCAAGCCACCAAGTCTAGCTACTTTCAACTACTCGGACAAAATTACTCTCGCCACGGTGAACAACAACAAATTTCTCGACTACATCAACTACGATGATTTCCGAGCACTTTCGGCGGCTTCTCGAGCACTCGACGATGAGTTCCAAAGATCACCCACACGAACCGGGGAGTACCTAAGCCGCACGAACGCAACAAGCCAAGATCAACTCGAGATACGGAAACCTCTGCAAGAACAATACAGATCAACTCGGTCATTGGGCACGACCAAGAAGGAAAAACACACGGCCAACAATTGAGGAAAAAAAGACCACGACATATACGTGTATATATATATATGCATCTATGAACAAGCAAGCCACGGGATCAAGATATATGAAGAAGCTTTGTCTTGCATATATGCGTATATGGATTAAGGCATACAAAGTTTTGTGACTAGCACGCACCTACCATCGAGTTCAGCTCCATGAAAGAAGGCGTATCAAGACAAGCACGGGACTTCGTCATGACCAATCAAGCAAAACAGTTAAAGGAAGCTACACCGAGTTGTTCAACTACATGCACATGATGACAACAACTCGGCTCAATAAAAATAATCAACCAAAGACGTGAGAAGAAGCAAGCAAGGCCGAGCTGGCCAAGAAGCAAGCCATCCGACGGGAAGCAAGCGAGCCACTACAACAACCCGGTAATAGCGCAACACTCTCCGAGTAGTCCACGACGACGACGGATTCCGGCTACCACTACAACAACCCGCCGACTCCACCTACGCTCAATGTAACAACGAACAACTACTCGGATGCTACGCCAACTACTCGGCTGCACATTCGACTACTTGGTTGCACATTCGACTACTTGGCAAGCGCCCGACCGACTACACCGGCTGCGGTGAGCGACAACCCGGTACCGTGGGGAGCTACATCGGTACCATGAGATCAGGAAAACACGCTCCTGAGAACAAGTTCAGAAAGAACCCGGATTGATCAGAAAACAACCCGGATGAGGTACATACAAGTTCAAAAAGAACCCGGAACGATCAGAAAACAACCCTGAAGAGGTGCTGCAAATAACAAGACAAATTCAGAAAGAACCCGGATTGATCAGAAAACAACCCGGATGAGGTACATACAAGTTCAGAAAGAACCCGGAACGATCAGAAAACAACCCCAAAGAGGTGCTGCAAGTAACAAGACAAGTTCAGAAAGAACCTGGACGAAGTGCAAACAACCTGGAAGAGGTACATCAAGAACCAGAGAAGTCCAGAAACAACCTGGATGAATAAAAAACAACTCGGAAGAGCATCACGGCTTAGTCAAACACTAAGCTCGGGGGCTCAGCATTCGCTTCAACTACGCCCGGGGGCTCGAATTCAAGGATGAAAGACCAAGAATACAAGTACTCAAGACTACAACAACGACAACACATCAAGACCCTTCATCCGATTTCTATTCTAAAGAAAAGTACTCGGAGAAGGCTCGGGGGCTGCGGGATACATAACCCCAAAAATTTTTTAAGACAAGAATCTGGACCCTCCAACTTTTGCAAGCAAAAGCAAGAGGCTCGGGGGCTACACTCGGTGAGTGCAATTTTTACGAAAAATTGCACCCACCGAAAAAGAACTCGGAGCAACCAAGAAGACTAAAGGGACCCTCTGGCTTCTTGTCCCAACAAGCAAGAGGCTCGGGGGCTACACTCACTGAGTGCACTTTTGTGCAAAAGTGCACATCAGCCGAAGAAAAGACAAAGAAGACCATCTCAAGATCTCGCTTCAAGAAAGAACCCAGAACAAGTCTACAACAACCCGGCCCTTGAAGCTCAATCATGAAATGCTCGGGGGCTTGTCGATGCGGGACCCATAAGGTTCCCCACGGTGAAGAGAGAAGAAGACTTAGTCCAAATAGGATTCTCCTCATGTAATCCTACTAGGACTAGTACACGTAATCCTACTAGATCTCTACTTTGTAACCGACTAGGACTTCCGCCTCTCCTGGACTATATAAAGGAGGGCAGGGGTCCCTAGATCGGCAGACCTAGCTAACACACACACATGAGCGACAGACATAACCGACAGAACTCACAACCACAACAAATAGCGCAGGGCGCAATATACTATCCACACCAGACTGGACGTAGGGCGCCGTGACTTTCCGGCGTACCGAACCAGTATAAATCGTTGTCTCCCTGCGTTTACCATCGAGTTCCTGCAAACGCCGATACCCCTCCGAACAAATCACCGTCATGGGTACTCCCGTGGCGGGTTGCCGGTGGTAAAACATCGACAGGTACTAGATTGCTAGAGTTTGTTGGAATTAGGCTTGTGATCAACAAGTCAGTTGTCCCTATGGATTTGGAGTCTTCGCCTGAAGATCGGAGTTGTCTTTCCGCTGTCTATACTTTGAGGTTATAATCTCTATACTAATACACTATGTATTTAAGCATTGTCTTTTGATATTACCCTTATTTGTAGCTATATGTGAGATTTGATTTCCTGGGCTCACATATGGTGTGTATCTGGTTTTATTCTTAAAATTGGGTGCTACAAAGTGGTATCAGTGTAATGCTAACTGTAGGACGCAAGCCTAGATAGAACTGGACGTTTTAGCATGCTTTCATCTTTGCTTAGCTCTTACTTTCTCTCTAACCTTGTTATTTGCTAAAGTTATGCTCACTTCGGCCTCTGTTTTGTTATGAAAATCTTGTCTCTATTCTGAACCTTCTCTCTTCGTCTATATAGATGGGTCGTAATGAGGAAACCACCAGCATCAAAGGTCAGGAGGACCAAGCTACGTTGTCCGTAAGCGCATTCGACAAGGAGAAGCTTGTAGTTATGCAACAAGTACTTGAAGGAATGATTCAACATGGGAGTTCTCAACGGTGCTTGCCACAAGGTCAAACCAACACTCTTTGCGAAGACAACCTCGCCGACATCCTTGTCCACCTCGACGCGGTGTCCGTGCTCCGGTGTCGCGCCATCTGCAAGAGCTAGCGTCGCATCGCCACCTACCGGTCCTTCCTCGCCGCCCACACCGCCGCCCGCCCGCATGAGATGATCACCAAGACCAAATACGGCTACGCATGCAGCACCGTCCCTCTCCCTCCACCAGACGATGACATCGACATGACGGCCGACGAGACAACGACCACAGGCACCATCATCGCTACCTTTTCGACCAGCGTCTGCCACCTGCGGACGGAGAAGGTATGAGCTCCGAGTTGTTACTGTATGCTTCACTCGATGGCCTTCTTGTGCTTCAGCACTGGAGGAGGTCCGGCTCCGGCCCGTGCACTTACGTCATCTACAACCCGGTGACGAGACACTGGGCCAACCTACCTTCACCTTTCACCACGGTGCCCGTGCCCCGCCGCCGCGGCGCTCTTGACTTCTGTTTCCGTACCAACGTCGCCTGCGGCTTTTACTTCCATGCCTCGTCCGGCGAGTACCGCCTCCTACTCCACTGTGTATGAGGACCTTCGTGCCAGTACTTAGAGCGCTATTGCTGCATCGCCTCGGTTGGCAGCGCACATATGCCTCGACGCCTGGCTCACACTCCTTTAGAGGAGCTTTTTCCCCACTATGAGTACCCCATGTGTTACTGTGGGACCCTCCATTGGTTGTCTGGACACCCCTAGGGCACCAGCACGGGCAAGATGCTGGCGTTCGACATGGCTTCCGAGACGTTCAGGCTGATGCTGTGGCTGCCTGAAGGTCCAAAGGCGATGAGCGATCTGCTGGAGCTAGACGGAGAGCTCAGTGTCGCAACTATATATTGTTAAGACATGCGGATCGACTAGGTGTAGATCAGCAGGTAGGATCTTAGAAACTTGGCATAGGCATCATGTAGGATCTACTGAAAGAAACATAAAGGGAGAAAGAAAGGGAGAGGGGATAAGTTACCGGCCATCGGTGGGCTTGGCGGAGGAGCTCGCCATGACTTCGGTGTCGGTGGCGAGAAGGCAATGGCGTTCCCGGTGGAGGCGTGGTCCAGTGGCGACGGCGAAGGCAGTGGGCTTCCCGTCGCTTCAGCGCCGCCCTCATCAGTGGGTTTGGCGGAGGAGCTCACCATGACTTCGGTGTTGGTGGTGAGAAGGCAGTGGCGTTCCCAGTGGCGGCGTGGTCCAGTGGCAACGGCGGAGGCAGTGGGCTTCCCATCGCTTCAACGCTGGCCTCAACGTCTGGCTTCTGTACCACCCCAAGGTGGGTGTGCCGGCGTCGACTGCCGGAGCATATGCCAGGGACTGGAACGGCAGGCATTGGGCCCTTCTAGCAGGGCTGCTCTGTGGTTTTGGGAAGGGCTTTCAGTTCATGGGCGGCCAGGCTGCTGGGTACGCAGCTGCTGACGCAGTCCAGGTATTCTTTTTCACATCGACCACAGCTTCAGTAATTCCTGGCAACTGTAATCTCATTCGACTGTAATCTGGTGTTCCATGATCAGGAGCTGCCCCTTGTAAGCACATTTTGGGGTGCTATCCTCTTCAGCGAATACCGGAGGTCATCGAGAAAGACATACTTGTTACTCTCTTCCATGTTGTCGATGTTCATCGTCGCTGTTGCAGTTCTCATGGCTTCAGCAGGGCATAGGAAGGGATTTGATACCAATGCTAAATTCATTGTAACCAGATTGCACAGAAGTTCAGTTTATCAAGACAGTACGCACAACTAGAGGAAATTTCAGCAATTTCAACATGTCCAGCATATATTTTTTATTTCAACATATCCAGCATATAACAGAAAATGGTCTCCAAACCACACAAGTAAGTAGCCACTCAAAGTGAGTCTCCATGCACAATCAAAACATAAAAATTTAAATTGATTACAGATCTCTGCACTCGAAAGAGAAATGATAGTATAAAAATATTTCAAAGGATTCAGGGGATCCCCAATTGTTTCTTTAGCCTGCAGATCAGTTGCCAGTTTTCATCACTCATCTCATCCTGCAACAAAGAATATCCACATGAGTTCTGGCAACAAAAAGAATATCTACATAGCTTGCCCCAAGCTCACTAACATCACTAGCACTAGCAACTTACCCGATAGTACTCTTTCAGCACATCAATGGATTTCCTAGAGATTTGGCTGAGCAGCTCATTGTCAGAGTTAAAATGGCGTCCATACAACCGGGACCTCTCCTGAGGATTCTCTTCAATTATCTGGTAGTGGCAATAAAATTCATTAGTGTTGTTGTCTTTCATGTTGTCACCTGTCGTAACTACCAAATTATGTTCAAGGCTCTTACCTTTATCGACACAACTCCTTGACTGGCAGAATTAATCTGCATGCCATTTGGTGTTTTCATTGATGAGATCCTCCCAAGGGCATGAATCACATCAGCACTTGTATGCTTACTTGGAACACAAACACAAATTGGGGTTCCCACCTAAAACAAGTCACAAGTAACCACTCGTTAACACCTCTATCTAGTAATCAATTTTGCAATAGACTTATGAACCAACATTCAAAGACTGAATCTTTAAAATAAGAGAAGAGCTGAACAAAGATGTAACTGGTTGTAATGGATTTTGCATTCCATTCATATACCCTAACATAAAAAAAACATAGTTACGAATAAATACACTTAAGAGCACTGGGCTAACAAAGTACCTTGACAATGCCTTCCAGAACTTCAACATCACAAACAATTGGATCCTTGCTATGGTAGACACGGTTTGGAAGAATCTTAAGGGTGCATGGGAACACTGCGTCAGCTGCACATTGCTTCTTCATCTCTTCTTTCAGTTTATTCATGTGATCAGTAAAACTATCAACACTGAGTCATAACTTTGACATCAAAGGCGAAGATGGCTGCATACTCTTCTTTCCTCTTCAGCATGGCAGTTGTTTTCATGACATCCTGCTTGTGGACTGGGCCTAAGTTGCAACCACTGACAGGAACATCCAAAGCAAGCGTCTTTAAATGTTTAATAATCGCTTCCAAGGATCCAAGACTAGATGCTTGCACATATACACCATCCCTGCAATGCTTGATCCTACAAATTTCTTGTAGTTCTGTTCCACCTTCATTCTCACCCTTTTCATCCTCGTTCATGAGGCTGATGGCCTTGCTGATTTCTTGCACTGCAGCAGCTTCAGCTCGTTCCATATCATCCCCTGGCTTTACCACAATGAGAGAAGTGCCTGCCATAGCATGTTGCAGACCCTGAAAAGACAAAATAAGCAAAAGAGTACACTGAAATCTGGATTCGGACTTTTTACAGAAAGAATATGAATAAAAATGAAACTTACTCGTACTGCAATTTTCATCCCTTGAGCAGCTTTAAGCTCCTCATGATGCGTGTACACTCCCTGATTGAAAAGTTGCAGACATATGTTAATAAGAACATGTTATGTTTTCTCGTCCATCCAAAATTCAAATCCTAAGACAAACAAACTACAAGAAAAAAGAAGTTTAAACAACTCCACGAATATTCAACAAGCAACGAATATACATAAAACACATGCCTTTATATTCTCCAACTGAAGTACAAGGTAGTTCAAAATCGCATAGAGGGGAGAAAATGAGGAGAATCTTGGATCCCCATCTATTTTGGAATCAAGTTTTGGTTTTAAACGAGAAATCAGCTCTAGGTGATAATTACTGAACCACGACAAGGGAAAATAAAATCTAGTTCAAAAAGTATTATTGGATAGTGCTTTATTATGAGCTAATGAACTACTCTATATTTCCTATTTGAGTTGTGTTGCTGCAAGTAACTTTTTATGACTATGCGATGTGCTTATTATCTCATATGGCCACAATGGAATATACTCAACATATGTTTGCTTCTATGTGTTGATAATTGTATAATGGTGTAGTTTTTCTCTAGGTATGAACAACCCATGGGTACCCGCTACCAACATGGACATGGGTATAGGTGAGAATTTGTACACCCAATCGGGTATGGGTTTTTTAATCGGTACAATTTATCCTATCAGGTATGGGTATGGACAGGTGATGCCTTTATCCTATCAGGTATGGGTATGGACAGGTGATGCCTAGTGGGCTATTATGGTCTCAGCAGCAGAGCATCCTAGTTCTACTCCCAAACAAACTTAAAAGCACTGAAGCTCTTGTAAAACCTGTTCACTTGAACTACTTCGACAGTACTTTTCAGCGAACGAACAATGTTTTCCTCTCACAATAAATCAGCATAAACATCAGCATAAGCCAAATTTCAGTGAAGCGAACAGGGCCTCACTGTTCCAAACAAAGAAACATATAGAATAGTGGTTCCAGAATCCAGATCACATAGTATATGCACAGCTGATGTGCCAAAAGTAAAGGAAGTATTAATGTCCAAAGGTTTCTTTTACTTTTAGCAGTTCTTAAAAAAATGAACGGTTTTTTTATAATTGATGAGAGGAAAACTAAACATGTAACATCATCCAAATCACAATCCAAGAATCAAACACAGAAATTGTGGAATATGCAAAATGTGACGTGCAAACACAGAATCAAATCTTGTATATAAGACTAAGTGTTGATACAAACTACATCCATCACAATAAAACACCTGATGGTTACACAGGTGGTATCAGAATTAGGTTTACATCTTACGGCTAAAATGAGGCATGTTGACATTTGGGAGTAGGGGTACTGGGTAGGTCTTTATTCACAGCAAGCACCACATAAACTGTGCATATATGCATGCTTAAATGATCTATGTCCAGAAGATTTTGAAAATCTTAGCAACTAGATACGTAGGGTAAGTTCAGGATAGGTACATGGACAGCTGATGGCAATCTAGTACACCTAAAAAATCACTACAGTCATCGTCTGCGGTAACTTTCGCCTCGCTTGACCGAAAAAAAAATCGGAAACTACCCCAGCGCTCCATACAAAAAAACGAAAAAGAAGCCGAAAAAAAAAATCGGAACCCACCCAGCGCTCCGTACAGAAAAAGGAAAAAGGAAGCCAAAAAAAAAAACAAAGTCATCGTCAGCGCTTACGCTCGCTACCTGCCCTGGCACTCCATACAAAAAAAGGAAAAGGAAGTAGAGAAAAAAATCAAAAACAGAAAAAAAAAACGTGCGGACTCGAGGACCAATTCAAAAGTGGCAGACTATACTCATATAAAATATGTTCTACAATTTAAAATCTAATCTAATTATTAATTCTCTATCTCTATCTACACCTTAAAAAAATCCTAATGTCATCGTCGGACGCCAAGATAATTCGCTTTGCCCAGCTTAATCCGTGGTTGTCGCGTTGCCCCGCCCTCGTGGTCCCTGTCTGAGAGTCCGCGTCGCCCGATGCCATGTATTATTCGCACAGCCCCAGCTTAATGGCGAGTCCAGTATGTGAACCCCGCACCCTCCCCCGTCGCCCCGCCCACGTGGGTCCATGTCGAGCCCCACCTCTCCCCGCAAACAAATCACGTTCCCACGTGCGCCCTAGCTCCAGCCTGCGCCGGTGGCGGCGGGCAACTGCGACCTATTGCCGTGCTTAGTCCCGGCATACGCGGGAGCACGCGTCTCGCCATGGATGCGGGCGACGCGATGCAATTACATGCTGGCGGCCGCCGCAGCGCTTGCTGTGCTCTGCAACGTGCTCGTCGTGTGCTCCGCTTCACCCGCGCGTGCGCGCCCTAGCTCCAGCCTGTGCCGGTGGCGCCGGACACCTGCCAACGCTCGCCCGTCAGCGCATGCCCGTGCACGTGTGCTCAAGCGTCTGTGCCACGCTCGCCTCGTGCGTGTGTGGCCGCGCGTCGGCACCCCGCTCGCCCTCCTGCGAGAGCAGGAACGAAGGAACGACGTGCTGTGGGACAAACAGACGCACCTCCTGGCCGCACATAACAGACGAGTCCGTTGCGTGCTGATTCGCTTGATGCCCGCACGTAATAATCTGGCCCATTAGTCTACCACGTCCATATGGAAGAAGGAAAACCAGGAGAATTTAGAAATAGTTTAGGAGTCCAAATTCAAAAGTATTTATTAGATTTTTATTAATTTTTTAAATGTAAAATAATAAAACACACAAATAATAATTAAAAAATGAAACCAATTTTAATAGGTTTCTATAAAACCAAATCTACAATATATGTCATAAAGATAATAAAATATGCTTTATGTAATCAAATTTGTATATTTCTTAATATGTTTGTCTAAACCACAATCCATGTGTATCGTCATAGACATGGATAAAAAATTATTAATACGTTCATCTAAACCGTAAGACACGTACACTGTTGTACACATAGATACAAAGTCGTTACCCCGTGCAACGCACGGGCATATATCTAGTAAATAAATAAAGGATTAACTCCTACATATGCTACTGTCCACATCAAGGAAAACATGAATTAACAAAAAAAAGGTTTCATCATCTACTCACCTTAACTTTGAGTTCTTTCATTGGAGGAGTCAACAAGTACCTTATATTGGTTGTGACAGGCCCCTACAGATTAAATGAAAAAAATTCTCAGATAAGATGAGGCAACATTGGATGGTGCATGTTCAATTTTAAACTCAATAAATCATACCTGTTTGGTGCAGACAACAATTCGATCACCATTCCGAAGTGCACCATTAATCAGCACTACATCAATTGTTGTTCCAAAGTCTTTATCTTCATTGACCTCCAGCACAGTACACTGAAACAAATATGGCAACAAAATCACCAACACACTCAAACAAAAAATGATCCAAGTAACCAGTTCGATACAATCCCTTCATAAAAAAAAGATTTTCATACTCATCATTAACTCAACAAACAAAATAGTTACTAACTATAGTGCAAAAATGTCCTCAAGAACAGACCTCCACAGTATTGACATATGTCAGTCTCTCCATCATTATTTTTGGCACCCATCGCACCAGAAGCAAAAGTAGGTCTGGATTGCCTTCACCGCTGGAGGATATTATGGTATAAATTAGAGAGAAGACAAATGTGTAGAAAAGATACAGAGCATTTGCCTTAATAATGCAAGCAGCGAAGCATATAGCTGACACACCTTACAGCGCTGGTTGGGACAATATTGACCACTTGTTTCAGCTTCTTGTTTTCATAATACAGGGCAGCATTGAAACCCTTTTCCATAAGTTGTGTTATAACCTATTAAATAAACCACTTATGAATCAAATCCAATTGATCAGAGGTAATAGTAAATCAATGAACATGATGACATTTGTACCTCAGTTACCCTCCATTTGAATTCTCTTTGTACATCATCAGTTTGGTTCTTAAGTGCTTTTGCTATTGGTGCATTTATACAGGTCTTCCAACCATATAGCTGATCAACTTTGTTCAAGGCAACAATAAACCTCACATTGCGGTGTTTCAAAAGATCAAGGGACTCCATGGTCTGCTTCTCAAGCCCACGCGTAATGTCCACAACCACTACAGCAATGTCACACAGAATTGATCCCCTCAAGCGCATGTTACTGAATGACTGGTGCCCCGGGGTGTCAATTACAAGCAAGCCAGGAACTTTGATGGTAACCTCAGCTTTAAGGGAGGTCCTCTCCCTGATATTCTCAACAGGTAAGTAGGTGGCACCAATCTGCTGCGTGATTCCTCCAGCCTCCCCACCCTGCACATTGCTTTGCCGAATACAATCAAGCAGCTTTGTCTTTCCAGCATCCACATGCCCAAGGATGCAACATATCGGTGCACGAAGCTCCATGTCAACCCCATTGCCTTGACCTTCATCCTCAAGGGCAGAGACCAAATCTTCCCCAATATCTTCCGATAAACTGATTGGGTTAGAAATTGGAGCAGCAGAGGTCACCTGCTTTTCCTCTGCTTGCTCCTCTTCCAGTTCTCTAAAAGTGGGAGATTTACCATGCAATAGGGAATCAAATCCATCAAAGCTCTTGTTCTCCCAAGTATCATCTTCGTCGATTTCATTGCTCTCTTCTGAAGATGATTGTGTAATTTGTTCCTCCTCCAATTGCAGCACATCAACGCCTACTCCATCATCCTCCAGCGATGCATTGCTCTGTTCGTACTGCAATTGGTCCTCAGACCCCAAAGTTTCTCCCAGATCAGTTTCAATTTCAGATTGGACATTGACATGACGCTTGGGCACCGATTTAGACTTCCTTGATTCATCACTGCCAGTGGCATCAGCAACGGCGACGCCCAGCCGCCTCCGCGCGGCCTCCATCCGGAGCTTCTCCTCCCGCTCCCCGCGCTTCTTGGCCTCCTCCTGCCTCTTCCGCCGCTTCTCCTCCCGAAGCCTCCTATCCACCTCGGCCTGCCTCTCTGCCTCCTCCCTCGCCCTCCGCTCCTCCTCCACGCGCCGCTCCTCCTCCACGCGCCGCTCCTCCTCCTCCCGGCGCCTCTCCTCGGCGCGCTGCTCCTCCTCGCGCGCGCGAGCCAGCTTCTCCTGGATCATCCTCACGTGCCTGGGCACCGATGTCGCGCCACTAGCCGAGTGTATCCCGCGGGCAACCGACGAGGGATGGTCACAGTAAAGTATACAAATCACTTTCAGATGTAATTGAGGGTAAAGAGGGGAGGTTTCGCGAGACTCTGCTTGGGAAACGGGTTGATTACTCGGGGTGTTCTGTCATTGTTGTGGGTCCTTCGCTTTCATTACATCAATGTGGATTATCTCTAGAGATAGCAATAAAGCTTTTTCAGCTATTTGTAATTCGCGATTTAATCACAAAACGTGCTACTTCTAATGTTAGGATTGCTAAAAGGAAAATTTGGGAAGGGGCGGCGGCGCGGGACCCTGCGGTCGTCCTGGACGACATGGAGGCGGAGACGAGTGCGGTACCGGCGGTCCAGGTTGTCGAAGAGGAGGGCACACATACGGCGGCGGGGAACACGCGCGGATGCGCCGCTGTATAGACTAGATTGCGACGGCGACGGCGGTGGAAGACCTAGATGGGCGGCGGGCGGCAGGCGGCGGGCAACGGCAGCAGCGGCGAGGATGGCTAGAGGGATTGCCGGATTGGTGTTTTGGGGCGAGGGCTTTGTGTGAGCGTGCAGGCAATATACTTTGGTTCGGGGCCCACCTACAGAGACAGGGCAGCTACTAACTCGTGGGGCGCACGGCGCACGGCAAAGGTTACTTGGTTCGCACATTTTTGACCCATGGCCACTGAGTTAATGGGCCACAAACGGGCTGCCAACCAATTCGGAAAGACGCATTGGCTTGGCCCAAGAAAGGCCATGTTTGAATGTGAGCATGTTTGAATTTAGCTTTGTCCATGCAATCTAATCTATTCACCTATAATCTCAAAAAAAAAATCTATTCACCTATAATCTGCTATTAGATTATTATAATCATCGGACTCATATAGTCTTACACGTTTGGATCACCTAGGGATTGTTTTAAAAGTACCCATTAAAGGGAGCATTATTTCACCATTAATATTATACACTAGTAAACATGCGTGTGCGTTGCAGTGAAAGCCAATACGTATAGAAATCAAATTCTGTATCATCGCTAGATGCGAGTGTATGAGCGCGGATCACCATGTCACATAAGATACCGAGAGCGCGACACAATATGTATTGTATTGGAATCGGACCATGTGTCAATGTGTAGTACTCTTAAATATCAAGTTTTGTGACTTCGTTCAAAGACTTTTAAAAAATGAAACTTGCAGTTCACGTTCACGTTCAACATTAACCGACACATAATGAAGCTTGCACGTTCACGTTCAGGCTAATAAGCCCACCCTCAAAGCCCATTTTCCACTGTCCATGCCCATAGTCCGAGTCTACGGCCCTGTTTGTTTTGCAGAAAAGTCATGGCTGAAAAATATTGTTCGCTGATTTGTTGTAAGAGAAAAATACTATTTATTTATTGAAATAGTACGGCTCATAAGACAAACGAACATGGCCTACAGCAGCAAACCAGAAGTCCAATTCAGTACAAACGCCGTCACCTCGACACCTCCGACGCTACCGCCAAAATTAGTGATACCGCAACGCTCGCCTGGCACCGCGACATGCTCTCATCTCTCTGAACTCTGAATTTATATCGTATGCTCCGTGGAACAAGAATTTCTAACCACAATTCCAATTAATGATGTTATCATTCGCTTTCATAACACAGAGGACCGTAACCGTAGAGGAACCCATAGGAGGTAACTACTACTGTGAAAGCTTCTTTTACTATAATGTGTCAGTTGTTATAATGCTATTATATATTTTTCTATTGGTATTGTATTATTGCAACCTTAAAGTTAGTATTTTGGGTTTGTCCTGATCCAAGCGAAAAAAATCTTGCTTCGCTCTTGGTCATATGTTGCACAAGTTTTTTTATGTTGCAAGTTGTAAGTGTTTTATCTGAAATTGTATATGTTGTAGTGGCTATACACGTATATTGTAAGTATATGTTTCAAATATTTCAGTTGTTTCAGAAGTATATGTTGCAAGTGTTTTATCTAGATATTGCAAGCGTATATTTCAAATATTTTACCTATTTTAGACATATGTTGCAGTAAGTGTTTTTAGTGGGCACAGGAAACGAAAGCATGTGGAGGTGGTCCCACGTGCATGCACAGCACGACAGCAACACGGCACGCGTAGGCGCGCCAGCAGCAGTAGACACATGCGGGTGCGTGCAGTAGGCGCATGCAGAGTATAAAAAATCTCGTGCTTGTAGCTGGGGTCTACGACAATGACTGGTTGTAGCTCCCGTACTTCGATAACCATGGATCACTAGAAACTGGGGCCACGTTTAGTTTCCCCTATTTCCAGAATTTGACACTATGCAAAAAGAAGATTTTCTGTCACAGCAAACTTACAGTACATGTATGGAGTACTAAATGTTGACGAAATCAAAAACTAATTACACAGTTTGGTTGTACTCTGCGAGACGAACGTTTTGAGCCTAACTAGTTAACGATTGGACAATTATTACCAAATAAAAACAAAATAGTACTGTAGCTACAGTACACCTCTTTTTTGGGCGGCGCCGAACCGGCTGATGAACTAAACGCGGCCTGGGGCAACGCGTGTCCACGTCCCACTCAAAAATTATGAGCATACAGGCGCATGTAGCAGGTGGGGCAGGCAGCAGCAGTGCGCGGATCAGGCAGGGTAGGCACAGGCGTTCGAACGGGCTACGGTCCAGACGTCCGCGTGCCAGGCACGCCATTAGGACAAAGCCCCGGACACAACTGAACTCGATGTGCGCGCGCCATTAGGCACGCCAGGCACAACTGAACTCGAGCAACATTGTTTCATGCATTCCTAGGCCCATGTTCTAGCACCTCCGTCGTAGAACCGCAACTTTTATAATAATAGTTTTAAGCTTTTATTACTGGGCAAGCTCACCTGAGGCCGTGCATCTCTGCCACCACGCCGCCACGATGATATCCCATTAGGACCTCAGACCTCTTTCAGCTGATGATGTGCGCGCGCTCGATTGCTCACGTCGGCTTTGCGCGCACGCGCGAGGCCAGCACAACCCAATAACCCAATAAGGGGCGTGTACATTGACCTTGTCTTGTGGAGAGTCGGTAGTACGACGTAATCTTAACATGACTAAATAGACGACATATACCATGATTGTTTTTAAAGTTGTCTCATAATTTCCTTAATTTATACATAGAAATAAAAAGTAAAGTTATGAGTTACACGCAACAAAAACTCATATAATGGTACAATAGTTGTCTTATAGTTCTAAATTTTAGCTTATGAGGTGGTTGTTTCATAAAACAACGACTTATTTCTCTCTTTTCTCTCTCTTTCCTTCACATTCCTAGAAATCCTACGTTACACTTGTTAGAAATTTAGGCATTTTCATTATCAGTTTAATCCAGAAATATAATATCAGCAGGTTTGTGACAGCATATATGTGCATGTGTATATTTCTTATGAACGCTACAGCATGCATAAATGATATACTGATTGATACAATAAGAATACAAAATACAGTAATCACAGAGATTAGACTGTACCCAGCGGAGGGTCCCATGCCGAGAGCATCGGAGGCTCCATTCGCACTAGTCGACATAGCGCGTTGCTCGAAGTCGCGGACCACAGTCGATGCAGGAAGATGTTCCAGTGCAGTCCCACGAACGGATCACCAGAAAGAAGACGTCTTGACGTTCCAGGGAGAAGACGGATCCAAGAGCGATCTCCAGCAGGAAGAAGATGGACGAGCAGTTGCGGATCGCTCCCCAAAAATCTAATCGCCGCTCACCCCGTGCAGGATTCTCAGGCTGCCGAGGGTTCCGGAGGCACCTGCTCTCCCGCTCCTCCGTGCGCGTAGAGGTACGGGACGGAGAAGTCAGAAGGCTGCTGATCTGTGGTTCTCTCGGGAGTGTTGCGGGGAGACTCGGTCTGGACTGACGGAGAACAGAATATATGGCTGCTGATGGGGAAGGAGACGAAGGCAGCGGAGAATCCGAGGAGACGGGAAGCGGAAGCGGAAGAGACAGTAATTGACGCAGTCAATTCGCCTCCACCATCAAGGAGCGAAACTCCCGTGATAATGTGGATTTAAGTAGCAAAAGACTGGCCACGCCCGCTCTCTCGCCGTCTGCCTGCCTGCCTCGCCTTGGCCACGGCCACGGCCACGGCCTCGGCCTCGGCCTCGGCCCACGCCCACGCCCATGGCCCGGCCCGACCGGCGGCGCGCGCGTGTGTGGCACGCCTTTATCCTTTTCCCAGCTTCTCAATTTATATGAATAATTTCCAACCATATAAGCTGAGTCAGCGTTCAGTCAAAATCCCGTATGGTATTAAACCATACAACACTTAATATTACGTACCATAGAGTTTTATTTGATTTATTAAATATTATATGGGCCAAGCCCATATTATATCTAACAATCCCTACCAAACTCTAGGGTTTGTAACAAAGTAGTCTTATAACCACATTTCTTTTATATACCAGTATTTCGATGGAGACTGTTAAGCTAAACATTCATCTAGAATAATAGTTTCACTCAGTCACTACTGAACAATGGACTAAGCCTTGAATTGACAGTTTTATGTGAAGTGAATGTCACTAAAGTCCTTAGCTGATACTAGGCAACAAAAGACATCCCCTCTATTTGAAGCATATAAGTCATACTTCAGTACCTTTCATGAGTATTTAGAGATCACCCAGATCTCATAGACTGTGACCAGCAGTCTGACTCATATAGGTGTGTTTCTCAAAAGATGTTCTGTAGGACAACATCTTTGCTTTGACAAGCCGCTTGGAACACATTAAGGTAAAAACCAACCTGCCTTACAGATAGGAAAGATGTGCATCAGAAATGAGTCTTACTAAGGATCTTTCCTCACAATTTACCAGTAGCTTGTTTTACCGTCCTACTTCACGGGATCTCCGATCACATAGAACAGGTCACCACTATAGTAAATTTCAAGTGGGTCTCAAACCCATCTCTCTCGATGCACTTTCTATCACGTTGCGTGATA